CTTCAAAATAAACCATGTTGAAATAACTAGGCGGGTTTGAACTCGACGATCAACCCTGTTGCTAACCTTGTGAGCTCAGGGTGTTGAGTGAACGTCACTGAATAGGCGAAAGTGTGGCGCGATCACGACGATCTGCCGCGACGAGATTCGCGCTATCCCTGGCAAAGTAATTTCATAATTTATTGACCGCCGAAAAACCAAGCAAGAATCATAACGCGGAAAAATATGGAGGACAGATTAAAATAGTTTACGGACTAGATACAACTCACAGCCGCTCATCAAAATATTCGTAAGTTTCCAGGCAACAATACTTAACTAACAAATGAAGGTATGAGTCAGGAAATATTGTTCCGAGAAGAAGAAAAAGAATACCATTGGTACTGAGTCACGGAATTTTCGCAAAGACTTGCAAAGTAACCACAACGGAAACCTGTACAACAATCATTTAATGATTTCAAACGTAAGTACTGCTAACTATAGAATACTGAACACGTTGTGCTTGAGGAATAAACTCAAGCCAATCCGATGGCGTATTTGGCAAAAGGCCCATAGTGTGAACCTTATATATAGCAAGAGCAAGTGCACCTAGATTGCCAAGGATAAATATCAATTTATGAATGATCATATTCCCAGTGTTCTGATCAATGAGAAGTCAGCAAATTGAAATGTACCTCAAGAGGCTTGAAAGTGGCGTTAACAGAGAAAAGAGCTTTCGCTGGACGCCACAACATCATTCCTACCATCATAATAGGAAAGATGGAAACACTTCTTCCGGCCGTATACATCATAAACATATTCATAGGTAAACTTTTAGCTGGAGCCATCGCCACGTCCCACGCTCGTTTTTTCGCCAAGTGTTCTTGCTGTTCAGAAGCCTGATCACTATCTACATGATGCTGAGCTGAAGTAACCCCAGTATGAAAACCTGGAGGATTGAAAACATTATCCGACGTTCTGCAGTTTCGAGAAGAAACAGAGTAATCCAATTTCCATTGTGAAAGCGACATTTTGAAGCTAACTATGCCTTTTGATACTGGGTGTTAACCAAGTAATAGATTTAACCAAATTGATGAAAAATCAAATTGTTTCTGGATCAGCACAATTTGTATGACTGACCTATAAGTTGAAAAAGCAGAACACTTAGTGCAGCACTACGCGTTCAAGTCCTTATATGCTCAAGGGAGTGGGCGGGGAAGGTACGTGAAGACTGAGGCGGTGAAGGGAGGGGAATGGACAGATAGGGAGCGGCAGCCTGGCAAGGCCATCGCTCTACAGAGCTTCAAATGAATGCCGACTTATGAACAAAACTTTCGCACAGGGGATATCGAACCCGTACCCCTTTACAGAGCATT